TGATTTATAATTTTCTCCTTGAGTTTAGAACAGTCCATTCTGTCTTGCAACTCTCTTAACTTCCTCACCATTTAGAAGTTCTGTAACTACACAGTATTTTCCCTCTTTTTGTATGTAGTTTTCCTCACTTGTCAATTGATGTCTCTGGTTCCCTGTTTACAATCTTGTAAGCTCATTTTACTTTGGATATGTTCATAGCTGTGGTTTCTAGGTTATGTCATCTTGTGTATTAATGGTCAGTTGTTATTTGCTATATTTGGTTCTCTGTACAAAGTACTACCTTTAGTATCTCTTGTAAGGTTGGTCTGGTTTTAACAAATTCACTTAGTTTCTGCTTATCTAGAAATCTCCTAATTTCACCATCCTATTTGAGGGACAATTTTGTTGGGTATATAATTCTTGGTTGAAAATTTTTCCTTTTCAGAGTTTTATATATACCATCCCATTGCCTTCTCGCTTGCATGGTCTCTGCTGAGAAATCAGAAGTTATTGTTACTGGCTGTCCTTTGTAGGTAACTTTTTGTTTTTCCCTTACTGCTTTCAAGATTCTGTCTTTGGTTTTGGTAAGTTTGATGATGATGTGTCTTCGTGATTTTCTTTTGGGGTCTATCCTGTTTGGGGTTTGTTGGATTTCCTGAATGGATGTATTCTCATCTTTCATCATATCAGGGAAGTTCTCCTCCAACAAATCTTGTACAATTTCCTCAGTGGTTTTATTATTCTCTTCCTGTTCTGGAATTCCAGTGACACATAGGTTATTCCTTTTGATGGTATCCCACATGAACCTTAGGCTTTCTTCATTTTGTTTTGATTTTTTTTTTTCTGATTGATCCCTTTCCAAAGAAGTATTCAGGTATTTGTCTTCAATTTCATTAATTCTTTCTTCCATTGCATCAGTTCTACTCCTTTGCCCTGCCAGTGTGTTATCTATTTCTGACAATTTAGTATTAATCTTCTGGATTTCTGTCTGTAGATTTTGAATCATTTCTAATTTTTCATTGATTTTGTCATTTTGTTCTTGTATTTTCTTCCAAAATTCTTTAAGGTTTTTTCTGTGTTTTCTTTGGTCTGTCTCTCAATCCTTTGAAGATCCCTAAACATAATTCTTTTAAATTCCTTATCAGAGAGTTCCAATGCTGCTTCTTCCTCTGGGATGTGTTTTGGGTTTGTATCCTGCTCCCTTGTTTCTACCACTTTATCCTGCTTCTTTCTGTGGACTGTGATGGTTTGTTGTTTCCGAGGCATCGTGGTGTTTTTGTATTTATATCTCTGTTAACTGTTTGTGAAGAGGAGCCAAGGGTGATTCAGTCTCTTCTTGGTGGTTTTTTATCATTGTCCCGTTGGTGGAGAAGTAGGTGTTGGCTCTTGGTCATTAAGTGAAGTTGCAGGAGGTGTGGGTGTAGTTGTGTCTTGTGGGGACTGTTGCTGTCTTCCACTCAGTAAGACAAAAATTACAATTGAATAACCATCAAAAAACTAAAAGCACCTGGACAAAAAAATACACTATGTAATCACACAGGAACAATAACCAAAAAAAGGAAAAAAGAAGAAAAAAACAAGAAATCCTGCAATATCTGGGGATAGGGCACTAAGAGAAAAAATGTAGAGAAGGAGACTATTGAAGCAAAAAATGGGAAATATGCAAAAAGAAAAACAAGGAACAGGGTTAACCATGAGAAGATGAGAAAAAAAAAAAAAAAATGCAACCAGGGCAGGGAAAAGAAAAAAAAGCTGAAAACTAGGACCTGAGTGGCAAAAAATTAAGAATAATAGTAAAAAGGACAAAAGTATTACTAATAGTTTTAAAACAGACAAAAACAAGCAAACTAATAACCAGAAAAAAGAAAGAGAAAAAGGAAAAGAAAAAAAAATCGGGGGAGGACAGGGCAGGTCACCCAGTCTCCGTCAGAGCACACAGACTGGGATGGAGTTCCTGTGGGCCCAGAAGGTAGCTGGAAGTGGGGGATGGCTGCACCTCCGTTCACCAAGCGAGCGTGGAGTTTATGATTTACAAGGGGAATGTCGCACCTTTTCAGTTGTCCAGTTCCGTAGTGTCCTTGTGGTTGTTAGCAAGCGGAATCTGTTCTTAAGCCCCTGGAATCTGGGAGAGCTCTCTCTCTTTAAATGTCCAAAATGGTCAAGCCACTTGTAAACATTCAAAATGTTTGTGTCCTCCGGACAGGCAGAAGTCCACAGGTCAGCCCACCTTCCTGTTCGCTGCTTCTCCTTTTATTCACCAGTCACCAGAGCAGTCCTCCATGCAGTCCCTGGCTAGCAGGGCTGATTTTTAGGTTAATTCTTAGGTCCCACCAGACTTGGCACTCTCCAAGCTATCTGCGCCGTTCTGTCGGGATTGCTCAGGATTGCTGCCAGACTGCAGCTCTGTATGTCTCCTTTTTGGTATTTTCATGCAAATTCTTCTGCTAGTTGGGGTTTAGTCCACTTTTGTATCCTTCCCTTCAAGGCTCAGGGGTCTAGGGTTATCTTCTGTGTCTGTGTTAATCGGTTCCCCTTTTCTTTGTTGAAGAGGGTCTGTGCAGTCTTTCTGCCTAGTCCACCATCTTCCCAAAAGCTTTTGTAATGTTTCTTGTTGGATTTTCTTGGCTGTCACTTGAGCAGCATTGACATTGAATTCCTGGAAGACACACAGAATGTCTCCAAGGTCAGTGCCACAGAACCATGCTGAATAGATGGTCGTGTATGATTGGAAGACTCTAATTACTTGTTTGGACCGCAAGTCCTATTTTGAGAGGTGGCCTGGGGCCACTGTTAGCTGCCTTATGGGTGTTCACCAATCCTCTTGCTTTTGTGTCTGAATTGGGCATAGATAATTAAATAAACTAGTGTATGTTTCATTACGTAATATTTTTAAAATATCCAACCTATCATTAATTATGTCAAGTGTTGAAAAAATGTCAACAGTATCTGAATACATATCCAGCAGCTAGTTATTTTAAAAGTTATATTTTTGTATCTAGCAGAAGTTAGCAGTTAACTTCACTGAGATACTTTCTAAGAAATTAAATTTTAAATTATTTTTGAATTATATTTTAAATGATTTTTTGAAAATTTTTCTTCTATTACTATAATCTATTTATATAAATTGCTAATTTGCATATGTAACTTGATAAATTTATAATTTATGTAAGTAAATAAATTAAAAGTTATTCAGCAAATAAAGTTAAACTGTTAAATGTTAATAGCTTTTTAATTTTTAATTTAAATTTCACTGTAAATATTTTATTTAGCCATTCTGAAGCCAGCACTGAATAGTGAGGCAGTGTAAAATCTAAAGCTAATTTTTTTATGTATAAAGCAGAGATACAGACACAGTAGTATATAAACAGATATGCAGCATATCTATGGAATTAAAATTTCATGGAGATGGTGACTCAGAAAAATATGTCTTTGAAGGTTCCTTAGAGAGCTGATAATGACCAAAGTCGAGAAAGTCTTGCTGAGAGCCATGGTTGCTATTGTCCAGACTTCCCGCACAGCGCCAGGCACCCCGACAGAACTTCTTAGTGTATTTTATGATGGAGTTCGATGAGAGGCAGCAAATATTGCTGCTGATGTGGTTGGAGAAGACAGTAAGCATCCTGTGGTAGCCACAGTGGGGATGTATGTCCTGACCTTCAAAGGTTGATGCCGCATTCTTAGCCACAGGCAAAGCTGCAGAATCCTGTCTTGTCATAGTTTTCTTTGTGGAGTCATATCTCTCTTGGTTCTTCAGAGGAATTCTCCTTTCTTTCCTGCCTTGACCTTGGCATGTTCAATTTTCCCTTCTGCACGAAGCTGCTAGAGGGATAAAGAACACAGGAGAAACTTGAATAGAGAAAAAGTACAAATACAAACCATGGCTTGTTTTTACACTGTGCCCAGAACTACAGAAGCAGTACAAACCATGGCTTGTATTTATACTGTGCCCAGAACATAGTTCGGAAATTACGGCTTAATGTTCACTTGATGCTAAATAATCTTTACTAAGAAGAGGGCCTGTGAGGGAGTCTTTGTCCATGTATGGGAGGGTTGAGGAAGATTCCTGTAAGAAGCAAGCGAAGAGAGAAGTGAATAAATCTTGGATCACATTGAGTTGCATTTGTCTTCATTGAACAAGTGTATGTCTATTTTCAGTGTAATGAAGTATCTGGTTTTGTATTTTGGAGTTATTTTTCTTCTCTGTGTTAACTACCTGAAATGTCATGAATCTTGCAGACACAGAGTTGGTGTTGGCGTTTCATGGAACATGGACACATTTATTTAACCTGCTGGCTGCGCTCCTGAGGAAAGCTGGGGATGTGGCTCTCCCCTTGGTTACTGCAGCTCTCGCCAAGAACTGGGCAGCGGTGACCGGTGAGAAGACATTCTCCAGGGCTTGAGTCTTTCTTGTTTTTTAGTTTTTTAAACTTTTTATTGTAATTTGTTAAAAGTGAATCAGTTTTCTAGTCAACATTCAAATACATTCTGTTCCATGTCATTCTTTGCAAGCCTCACAATGTAACATCACTCAGCCCCTCCCTGTGTTTCTTATTTCCCTTCCTCCTTCTTTCCTGTCCCTTCCTATCTTCTGAATTTTATCCCTGGGCAAATACTGTCCCTTCGATCTCGAATGGATGACTATCCTAAGAAGCGCATACCTCCCTAGTGTTATTGTTCACCTGGTAGGCTTGTCCACTCTTGAGTTGAAAATGGAGCCCTGGGAGCTAGTTCAGCCCCAACTCTGAAGAGTGACTAAGGACCATAGACTTAGGAATCCCACCATTCTCTATATGACCAGTAAGCCTGGTCTTTTTTGTGACTTTGAGTTTTGTTCCACTTTATTCCCACTATCTACGATCTTCTAGGGAGCTCGGGTAGCATAGTGCCTAAGGCACTTGACTGCTAACCAGAAGGCTAGTGGTTCAAACCCACCAGCCACTCCTGGGAAGGAAGGTTGGGCAATCTACTTCCATAGTGATACCGCCTCGGAAACTGAAGGAGGGGTCGCTATGAGTCGGGTCCGACTCGAGGGCAAATAACAACAACAACATGATCTTCTAATATGATCCCTTTCAGAGCAGTTAGTAGTGGTAGCTGGGTACCAACTAGTTCTTCTGGTCTTAGGATAATTGAGGCAGATGTTCACATGGTCCTATAGTCTGTGTGTCTTTGATTTTCTTTACTCTTCTTTCCTCCAGATGGGGAGAGACCAGTAGTTGCACCTAAGATGGCTGTTGCAAGCTTTTAAGACCCCAGTCACTACTCACCAAAGTAGCATGTAGAGCATTTTCTTTGTGGGCTCTGTTGTGCCATTGGCCTTGATGGCCCCTGAGAATATGGTCCTGAGCTCCTGGGCCCAGCATCTCATTCTTTGAAGGTTTTTTGGTTATTGCTAATAAGTTTGCATATCTTTACCCCCTGTGTGCACCAATAAATCCCTGGATATATTTGCAGTATATGTAAATAGGTACGTGGAAATGACCTGTGTCAAACCTGTGCATGTTCATGGGCATACTCCCATTCTCCTCCTCAACCTGTGCAGCGTGTGTTTATGTTTATGCACCAGTAGATTATTGCTATGGCTGTTACTGCAGGATTGCATATGTGATATATCTTCCTCGGCTTCCAGTCTTATACTGCTCCCGGTGTCTTCCTTTGCTTTGCTCATTTTGTTCTGACCTTATTTTGTATTACCGTCCCCTTCACCCAAGTTAGTATGTGTCCACCATCTAGTTAGTGGTTGATCTCCCTTCCTCTCTCACCCCTGGTAACCATCAAAGAATGTATCTTTTTGTATGAAAACCTTGTCTTGACTTTTTATAATAGTGGTCTCATACAATATCTGTCCTTTTATGATTGACCGATTTCACTTACCGTAATGTCCTCTAGGTTCATCCATGTGATGAGATGTTTTGCAGATTCAGCGTTATTCTTTACCGTTGTGTAGTATTCCATTTTGTGTATAAACCAGTTTGTTTATGCATTTATCAAAGATACTGCATTTAGGTTGTTTTCCTCTCTTTGCTTTTGTTAGTAGTGGTATTATCACATGGGTGTTTATATAGCCTTTGGGGTCAAAGCTCTTATTTCTGGGGATATATATGTAGTAGTGAGATTGCTGGATCATAAGGTATTTTTGTTTCTAACTTTTTAAGAAAGCGCCATACCATTTTCCACAGTGGTTGTACCGTTTTGCTCAACATCACTGTTTAAGGGCTCCAGTCCCTGCACACCCTCACCAGCATTTGTTGTTTTCTGTCTTGTTTAACTTTGCTATTAGTGCTGGGGTGAGATGAGATCTCGTTATGTTTTGATTTGCATCTCTCTAATGGCTAATGATCTCCAGCACTACTTCATGTGTCTGTTGGTTGCCTGAATGTCTTCTTTGGTGAATTGTCTGTTTGTATCTTCTGCCCATTTTCAAATTGGATTATTTGTCTCTTTGTTGTTGAGATGTTGAAATTTTCTATGAATTTCAGGGATTGGTCCCTTGTCGGATATATCATTGCCAATTTTTTTTTTCCCAGTCTGGGCTTCTCTTTTTATTCTTTTGGTGAAATCTTTTTATGTGCATAGGTGTCTAATTTTTAGGAATTCTCAATCATCTAGTTTTTGTCTTCTGGTGCTTGTGCATTTTTAGTTGTGTTTGACAATATATTTATGCCATGTATTGGGACCTCTAAGTTTACCTTTATTTTTTGTTTGATGGTCTTTGCAGTTTTAGGTTCTACATTTAGGTCTTTGATCTATCTTGAGTTAGTTTTTGTATATGGTGTGACATATGGGTTTTGTTTCATTTTTCTGCAAATGGATATCTCGTTTTGCCAATACTCTTTGTTAAAGAGACTGTCTCTTGCCCATGTAATAGATTTTGGCCCTTTGTCAGAGATCAGCTGTCCACAGGTAGATGAGTTGACTTTTGGGTTCTCAGTTGTGTTCCGTTGCTCTGTTCCTGTTGCTGTACTGTTGTTGTTGTGGTTGTTATGTGCCATCGAGTCGGACCCGACTCATAGCGACCCCTCCTTGGGTTTCCGAGGCAGTATCACTATGGAAGTAGATTGCCCCATCTTCCTTTCCGAGGAGTGGCTGGTGGGTTTGAACTGCCAGTCTTCTGGTTAGCAGTCCAGTACCTTAGGCACTGTGCTACCAGAGCTCCTGTTGCTGTACTAGTACCAGCCTATTTTGACTTTTATGGCGGTGGACTAGGTTTTGAGATAGGGGAATGTGATGCCTCCTACTCTGTTCTTCTTTATAGTGCGTGGCTTTTCTGGCCTCTCTTTCCTTTCCATGCAGAGTTGATGAGTAGTTTTTCCATCTCTGCAAAGAATGTTAACGGAGTCTGCATTTGGATTGCATTATATCTATAGATCGCTCTGGGTACTATTGACATTTTCACAATGTTAAATCTCCTGTCCGTGAGCATGGTGCATTCTTCCATTTATGTAGGTCTCTCTTCATTTCTTGTAGCAGTGTTTTGTAGTTTTCTTGGTACAGGTCTTCTTTATCAGTAGTTAGATTTATTCCTAGGTACTTCATCTTTTGGGTGAGTGTTGTAAATGGTATTGTTTTCCTGATTTCATTTTCAGCGTTCTCTTCTTTAGTGTTAAGGTATCCCACTGGTTTTTGTTTGTTGATCTTGCACCCTATTAACTTGCTGAATCTTTAATTCATTCCAGTGATTTTCTTCCTGAGTCTTTGGGATTTTCTGTGTATAGGATCATATCATCTGCAAATGCAGACAACTTAACTTCTTTACTAGTTTGGATGCCTTTTATTTCCCTTTCTTGTCTGTTGCTCTGGCTAGGACTTCCAATACAATATTGAATGGGAGTGGAGATAAAGGACATCATTGTCTGGTACGTGTTCAGAAGGGAATGCTTTCAGGCTCTCTCAATTGAAATTAATATTGGCTCTTGGTTTTGTATATATGTCCTTAATTATTTTCAGAAATTTCCCTTCTGTTCTTATTTTGTTGAACATTTTTATCAGGAGTGGATGTTGCCTTTTGTCAAATGCTTTTTCTGCATTGATTGAGATGGTCATGTGGTTCTTCTCCTTTGTTATATTTATGTGGTGGATTATTTTGTTTTTCTTTGTTGAGGTTACCCCTTAATTTATTGTTTTCTTTGGGCTTGGGCTTATCTGCTCATGAACATGAAGAGGATCATTATTCATTATTAGGCATGTAAATTCCTTTAAGTTAAGTCACACAGCATGGCATATGAAGAAGCTCTTATTTGAGAAATTTGCAGTGTTCTTGAGGAACAAAAACAATGCATTTTGAAAAGTAGAAAACTTTCAAGATACCATAAAAACAAGTAAGAGAAATTGGTGGTTTCTTGAAGATACATGTGATAGAAATTGAAAGCAGTGAGAGAGAATTGCATGTGCTGGTGTAGAAATCACTGCCCATCCACTGTTTGACAGGCACTGTGTGCGGTTAAATCTACAGCTATCAAATCCCGTGTACTTGATAACATGGAGAGTTACAGTAAAAAGGTTGTCTTGTCTCTAGGCCAGGATTTTCTTGTAGCACAGAAATGCCCAGCAGGCAGTTGGTTAATTATTTGTCATAAGATGCCCTCCATATGATTGTTGCCTACTCGAGTAATAGATGATTGTTTTGCGAATAACTGCTCTTTAATTTTTCAGAAGTCTCCTCCATTCTAAATTTTAGCTTAGCCATAAGCCTACTTTCATATAAGTGTTTATGACTGACATTGATCTTCCTATTAAAATGTATTCAGAATTGAGCGCTTTCCATTTCCCAAGATAGCCACTAATTCACATGACTGATTTAGTTTCTCCATAATTTACCATTTTGCCATTGTTTTAACACAGATATGTGGTACAATTTTTAACCAGACAGGTAGTTTTGAAGTAAACTGTGTAGGGAAATGCATGTTCATTGAGACACAGAATCCATAGTTAACTGGGTACTATAAGCATTCTGAGTCTACACCATGGAGGATAGTTGCCATGTTGAAGGTCATTACTGTGTTAAAAGGAATAGAGATTGACAGAGATGGTGGGATTGAGATTTTCATTTTTCGTCCATTGGCAAAAATCAGTTTACCTCCTGAGTAACCAGTCATAGAAGCAACGTGCCGTTCCCATGAGACAGTTACACCGGCTGACCACATCTAGGCCACTGCCTGCTGTGGTGACGTTTTAGTGGAACGTAGTCACGGTCATCTGTTCACATCTTGCCTCTGCCTGCTTCTGTGCTACCACAGTCGAGTTGAGTAATATAGTTGTGACAAAGGCATAGGGACCACAGAGCTTAGATATTTACCATCTGGCATTTTAAAGAAAAATCGTGCTTGCTTCTGGTTTAAGACTATTCTCCTGACACTCTTACCCTAGTGATAAGA